ATAAGATAATTTAATGCATTAAACTCAGTAAAGCCAACATATATATAAATAAATCACATAAATTTTGAATAGAAAAATAAAGGATCACAAGTCAATTACATTGCTTTTTCTGATATAAAAATTAGTTATTCATATTATAAAAATAAAAACACGCAAAAGTAAAATGATATCACCAAAAAATGACGAAGAGTTAAATTTTTGGTGTCTACGTGTCTCATGTCCTTTTCCTTTCTTTTTTATCTCTCTCCTCTCTCCTCTCTCCTCTTCTTTTCTTCTACTTTTCAGGCCTTCTCTCTTCCCTTTTCTTCTGCACTTCTTGTTTTCTTCTCTTTTACTTTCTTTTCTTCTTATTTTTTTTGCTTTCTTTTTCTTTCTTTCTGCTTCTGCTTATCTGCCGCAGTCTTTCTTTTCTTCTCTTTTACTTTCTTTTCTTCTTCTTTTATTCTTCTTTCTTTCTTTCTTTCTGCTTTTGCTACCGTCTTTCTTCCTTGTTTACTGTGCATCCTTTTTCTTTCTTAAATAATTTTGGTTTTCAATTAAAATTTTCAATGCAAGTCTATTGAGTCGCATTTAACTCAAATTCATTTAATATAATATTTTTCTCTAAGATTTTATCTTTAAATTTTTCATTTTTTGTCACCTTTATATTTTTTTCCTCAAATTCTTCATTAAACATAAAGTTTTACCTACAACATACAATATAACATAAATTAGATGAAATTTTATCCAAAACATAATAAAATATCATGATTTAAGATCTCGAATAAGTATATAAACTACACTTATCACACCCCAAGCTTAAATATTTGTTTGTCCTCCAACAAAACTAAAATTTAACAAACACACAAACACGAAATGCTAATTACCTAATTGGTGGTCTGTCAATCAAGTGAAGTAATAAGATTTAATTAGCTAACCTAACTTTTTATTTCGTAATTGAAATCATAATATTAAATCTATACACAGTTTCAAAATCACAATACAAAATTAAAATCCGATTTTCTAATGTAAAATCGACACGCGCGTGTGTGTGTGAAGAATTGAGTATAGCATTATAAATTCATAAGTTATTTCAATTCCCGACCTTCAATAGTCAAATATGTTCTTTCATACTCGTAAGATTCACACACCCATAAACTTATTCTTTTTACTCTTTTCCAGTGCGTGAACTGATGTTGGATTTTTTTTTTTTAATTATCCTCACATCTCTAGTTTAGCAAAATTTCACCAATTGCAATTCAATATTTCAATAAATAAGGATTTTCCATTAAGTTGATTGCTCCAATCTCTATGACTTAATTATGCTAACAATCTCTCATCAAAAGTCAATTTTTCTTAAAGAATTATTTGAGACATGCCCCAAGGCATTTGATTCGTCTTCTATATCATGCACATGTTTTTTCTTAAAAAAAATTATGAATAATTTTTTTATTTATTAGAAGCATTCTCTCCCTTAAACTTTTTAAATGACCCATGTAACAAGTTTTCGGCTGATAACTCTCAAATCAGATGACCATAAGACACCAGGTTTTAAAGACCCTTACATGCTTAATTGCTCGAGTCATAAAGGATGCGAAGAGATATTTTATAATAAAATATTTTTTATGCATTGATTAGTGTAAAGTCCCTCATTTAACACCAATTCAAGTAAAACGACATTTAACTTGAGATTTTCACTCAATTGCATCCTATTGACCTTAGAGAATTCACGCAAGATTTTAATTTTACACATGAAATCCCTATTTGTCTCAACATCTTCTTGCGATAGTACCCCAAAACTATTCTAAGTCTCAAATCAGATGACCATAAGACACCAGGTTTTAAAGACCCTTACATGCTTAATTGCTCGAGTCATAAAGGATGCGAAGAGATATTTTATAATAAAATATTTTTTATGCATTGATTAGTGTAAAGTCCCTCATTTAACACCAATTCAAGTAAAACGACATTTAACTTGAGATTTTCACTCAATTGCATCCTATTGACCTTAATCAATCCACACAAGATTTTTAATTTCATACATAAAATCTCTATTTATCTCAATATCTTCCTACAACAGTAAAATCCCCCCAAACATTNAGAGAATTCTCGCAAGATTTTAATTTTACACATGAAATCCCTATTTGTCTCAACATCTTCTTGCGATAGTACCCCAAAACTATTCTAAGTCTGGTCCAAGAATGTAAAATTTCATGATTTGTACACTTTTCCATTAGCTCTTTGAATATGTTTCATGCCTCGTGATAGCTCTCCCCATCTTTTTGTTAGAAAGTTTGAATTTTTAATTTGATTTTAGCTACTTTCGCAGGTGGGAAGAATTTGTTGCAGAATTTTCTGATCAGTTCTTCCCATGTAGTAATGCTTCCATGAGGTTCGGCGTCTAACTACTCTAATGCAGCATCTCTCAGTGTATATGAAAATAAGCGCAACTGAATAGCGTCTTCATTAACCCTAGGAACGTGAAAATTCTAACAATTTCTGAGAAATCTGGAGATATGTATGTTCGATTCATGAGGTAGCCCGTAAAATTGGAGAGTATTGCTCATCAAATTGATCCACTCTGCCCTTATCTGAAAATTATTTACCTCAAAATCTGGATACACAATATTGGAGCGTGCAGGCCATGGGCGTCAAGAACATTGAAATTGGCAAGTCTCCTTCGTTTATTTTCCATAGCTCCTGCTGCTAATCTGAGGGAACTGTTTTTCTTGCAGCCACTTATCCAATTGACTGAATAGGAATAGGAATATTTTGACAGTCATCCATTTTTTGTTGTTGTATTCCTTACGTCTTCGTCTGAAAGTACGTTTTATTTTCGAGTCAAACGGTTCAAGATCGTCGCTTTGGGTACGAAGCATACAACGAATATTTTTTTTAATAAAAAAAAAGTAAAATCAAATAACAATTAAAAATAAAATAAATTAAGACTAAAAGTAAATAGTTCTCGACAGTAGCGCCAAAAACTTGTTATGCTTTTTTATATCTCAAGTGTACGATATCATAACAAGCAGTATAGTGAATTTTTGAATCCGAATATCGTTTTCACGAAAACTATACTTTAGGATTTAAATCTAATTTTTCTTAACTCCTATTTGACAAAAGTAAGTAAAATATTTATGATAATTATGATTTTTTCCTAACTACTTTTGACTAATTGAAAATATAAAAAGATTGCAAACAATGAATGATTGAAAATTCAAATATGTGATGAATATTAGGGTATAACAATTTCATTGATTGATCACCTTAAGTTTTAATTCAAAATTATGACATAATGTAGCGTTCGATGAAATTCTTCAATTGTATTNAATTTCATTTATTGATCACCTTAATTTTTAATTCAAAATTATGACATAATGTAGCGTTCGATGAAATTCTTCAATTGTATTCAATTTACCCCACTCGAGCTCTCATTGAGCATATTTAACTAATTAAATTTCATATCTCTATGCGAATCAATTTTAGTTAAACAAAACACTAATTCTAAGAATTTATATTATGACAGCAATAATCAGTATATGTATCTCTACACATTATACTAATTTATCGAATTTTACTATATGGTCTAAATCTGAAACTCACATCTCGATTCGTAAGAG